GGGACAGAGAGCGTCATCTATGCTGATGATCGTGCCATCACTGCTCAAGCAGGGACCTTTGAGATGGTGGAACAGAAACTCTCCAAAGCTCCAAAGCTCTAGGTGCTCTTACTACCTGTTACCAGCTGATCCCCAACCTATCTAAAACACAGACAGGTGCCTTTCATCTCAAGAACAGAGAAGCATCCCGAGCTCTGAGGATTATTACCTGGGAAGGAATCCCACTGGAGCATTGCAGCGCACCCAAATACCTGGGAGTCACTCTGGACCGTGCTCTGACCTACAAGAAGCACTGCCTGAACATCAAGCAAAAAGTGGGTGCTAGAAACAATATCATATGAAAGTTGACTGGCACAAACTGGGGATCACAACCAGACACAGTGAAGACATCTGCCCTTGCGCTGTGCTACTCTGCTGCTGAGTATGCATGCCCAGTGTGGAACACATCTCACCACACTAAAACAGTGGATGTGGCTCTTAATGAGACATGCCGCATTATCACAGGGTGTCTGGCCCTACACCACTGGAGAAATTACACTGCTTAGCCGGTATTGCACCACCTGACATCCGGGAAGTAGCAGCCAATAGTGAAAGGACCAAGGCAGAGACATCTCCAGCTCATCCCGTTTGGGTATCAGCCAGCACGTCAACGACTTAAATCTAGAAATAGTTTTCTAAGATTTACAGAGACACTCGCTGGAACACCTCAGCAAGCGAGAGTCCAAAAGTGGCAGGCTCAAACCCAGAACCTCAACCAATGGCTGATACCAAATGAGAAACTCCCTCCTGGGAACAGAGAGGACTGGGTGACCTGGAAGGCACTGAACCCGAGATGCAGAGAGCCCTGCCACATGATGCACAAGGGAGGACCTTCTTGCAGCAACACCGGAAGCACTCCAAGTGGCCAGATACTGGTCAAAGAACATTTAACCAACCACCAAACTCTGTGCTCCCTTTCTTCCCTTCTCTCCCTTTCTTCCTTCTCTCCCCCTTCCTTACTTCATTCCACCTTTCATCCTTTCCTTTCTTCCTTTGACCAGTATCTGGCCACTTGGAGTGCCTGTGGTGTTGCCGCAAGGAGGTCCTCCCTTGTGCATCATGTGGCAGGGCTCGGGTTGCATTGCCGCAGGTGGTCTGTGGTTGGCTTTTCTCCGCACTCGCATGTCGTGGATTCCACTTTGTAGCCCCATTTCTGAAGGTTGGCTCTGCATATCGTGGTGCCAGAGCGCAGTCTGCTCAGCACCTTCCAGGTCACCCACTCTTCTGTGTGCCCAGCGGGGAGGATTCTCTCATTTGGTATCAGAAATTGGTTGAGGTTCTGGGTTTGAGCCTGCCACTTTTGGACTCTCGCTTGCTGAGGTGTTCCAGTGAGTGTCTCTGTAGATCTTAGAAAACTATTTCTTGATTTAAGTTGTGCTGGCTGATACTCAAACAAGGGATGAGCTAGAGATGTCTCTGTCTTGGTCCGTTCACTATTGGCTGCTACTTCCCGGTGGATGTCAGGCAATACCAGCTAGACAGTGTAATTTCTCCAGTGGTGTAGGGCACAGACACCCCGTGATAATGCGGCATGTCTCATTAAGAGCCACATCCACTGTTTTAGCGTGGTGAGATGTGTTCCACACTGGGCATGCATACTCAGCAGCAGAGTAGCATAGCGCAAGGGCAGATGTCTTCACTGTGTCTGGTTGTGATCCCCAGGTTGTGCCAGTCAGCTTTCGTATGATATTGTTTCTAGCACCCACTTTTTGCTTGATATTCAGGCAGTGCTTCTTGTAGGTCAGAGCACGGTCCAGAGTGACTCCCAGGTATTTGGGTGCGCTGCAATGCTCCAGTGGGATTCCTTCCCAGGTAATCCTCAGAGCTCGGGATGCTTCTCTGTTCTTAAGGTGAAAGGCACATGTCTGTGTTTTAGATGGGTTAGGGATCAGCTGGTTTTCCCTGTAATAGGCAGTAAGAGCACCTAGAGCTTCGGAGAGCTTCTGTTCAACCATCTCAAAGCTCCCTGCTTGAGCAGTGATGGCATGATCATCAGCATAGATGAAACACTCTGTCCCTTCTGGCAGTGGCTGGTCATTTGTGTGCTGGTCACACACTGTTTTGAAAGGGCTCCTTTCCTTCCAAAGTGTGCTTTAGGGAAGCCAGTTGCCCTGGGAGGGAGGCTTGCCCTGCTTGTCCCCCTCCCTTTCTTCCTTCTCTCACTCCTTCCTTCCTCTCTTCCTTCTTTGCTCCCTTCCTTCATCCCTTTCTTCCCTTCTCTCCCTCCCTTTCTTCCTTCTCTCCCCCTTCCTTCCTTCCTTCCCTTCTTTCTTCCCTTCTTTCCCTCCCACCCTTTCTTCCTTCTCTCCCTCCTTTCCTTACATCCTTGCTCCCTTCCTTCATCCCTTCTTTCTTTCTCTCCCTCCTTACTTCATTCCTCCCTTCATCTCTTCCTTCCTCTCTTCCTTCTCTCTCCCTCTCTCCCTCCTTCCTTACTCCACTTCCTCCCTTCCTCTCTTCCTTCCTTGCTCCCTTCCCTTCTCCCTTTCTTCCCTTCTCTCCCTCCCTTGCTCCCTCCCTTCATACAATCATATAGAAGCGTGTTTTAGGGATGCCAGCTCCTCTGGGAGTGAGGCTTGAGCTATTTGTGTCATTGGCACCTCCTTCCTTCCTCCTTCCTCCCTTCATTCCTCCCTTCCGCTCTTCCTTCCTCTTCCCTTCCTTCATCCCTTTCTTCCTTCTCTCACCCCTTCCTTACTTCATTCCCCCTTCATCCCTTCCTTCCTCTCTTCTTTCCGCTCTTTTTTCCTTGCTCCCTTCATCTCTTCCCTTCCTTCCCTCTCTTCCTTCTCTCCTTCCTTATTTCATTCCTCCCTTCATCCCTTCCTTCCGCTCTTCCTTCCTTGCTCCCTTCCCTCCTCCCTTTCTTCTCTTCTATTCCTCTCTCCCTTTCTTCCTTCTCTCCCTTTATTCTTCCCTTCTTCAATTCTCTCCCTCCTTCCTCCTTTCCTTCATCCCTTCCTTCATCCCTGCCTGCCTTCCACACTTCTCCTCCTCCTCCTCCTCCCTCCCTTCCGCTCTTCCTTCTGCCCTTCATCCCTTTCTTCCTTTCTTTCTCCTCCCTCCCTTCAAAGAAACATATGTTACACAGCACGTGCTTTATTCCAGCTTCCTAAGGCCCAAAAACCCAGATGCAAAGTAGTCTCAGAGCAATAGCCATGATAAACAGATCATCTTTATTCTCTTAACTTTGCAGAGATTAAACAAAACTGGCAACGCAGCACACAAAAACAGCAGTGCAACATATTTACACACTCTTTGTAACATGCATAAAATAAAGCATCTTCTAAGCAGCAAATGGGAAGTCAAAACCAATAAATAGCTATTTCACCCTCAGCATCTCCTGCTGGAACTCCACGCTGGTGAAACAGAACTCCAGCAGCAGCCCACCAGAAATCCAGCACCCACCAGAAGTTTAACACCCACCACAACGCATTCTAAAAACACAAACAGTTAGAGCCCCTTGGGCGTGGCACAAGGTTGCTTCTTGACCTACTTAGTCAGCTGAACAAGATAATTACAAACAATAAGGTTTTTCTTCACACACATACTTGTGTCTGCAAGGACTTACCGTAACACCCCTCATCATATCTCCTCTCAGCCTTCTCTTCTTCAGGCTAAACATTCTCAGCTCCTTAAGCCACTCCTCGTAGGGCTTGTTCTCCAGGCCCTTGATCATTTTAGTTGCCCTGCTGGACACATTCCAGCTTTTCAATATCTCTCTTGAATTGTGGTGCCCAGAATTGGACACAATATTCCAGGTGTGGTCTAACCAAAGCGGAATAGAGCATGGGGAACATGACTTCCCTAGATCTAGACACTAGGCTCCTCTTGATGCAGGCCAAAATCCCATTGGCTTTTTTTGCCGCCACATCACATTGTTGGCTCATGTTTAACTTGTTGTCCACGAGGACTCCAAGATCTTTTTCACACGTACTGCTCTCGAGCCAGGCGTCACCCATTCTGTATCTTTGCATTTCGTTTTTCCTGCCAAAGTGGAGTATCTTGCATTTGTCCCTCTTGAACTTCATTTTGTTAGTTTTGGCCAATCATCTCTCTAATCTGCCAAGATTGTTTTGAATCCTGCTCCTGTCCTCTGGAGTATTGGCTCCCTCCCAATTTGGTGTCGTCTGCAAACTTGATGATCCTGCCTTCTAGCCCTTCATCTAAGTCATTAATAAAGATGTTGAACAGGACCGGGACCAGGACGGAACCCTGCTGATGGCACTCCACTTGTCACTTCTTTCCAGGATGAGGAGGAAGCATTGGTGAGCACCCTCTGTGTTTGTCCACTTAACCAATTACAGATCCACGTCACCGTAGTTTTGTCTTGCAGTGTAGGATATCGCACACAGAGAATCTTTGAGCACCGTCCCCTTGGTATCTGAGGAGGGATTGATCGTTGTTGGGCAAGTGTTAAAGTATTTGTCACCAGGCAATGGGCACCTTCCCTCTTCCTCTTGGTTTGCTACAGCACTAGACTTCCTCTTCATGTTCCATGAGATCTTTCCCTGTTCAACTCCTGAAGAGATTTTCCTCTCATTTGTCTGGCAGGTAACTTCGGAACAAGTTCTGTGAAGAACGCCTTATAAATCTAAAAGAATGGCAAGTCCCCTACCTCCCTATCCTAGATCAGACACAGGGGAGAAGTTACATCAGTGTATGGAATGTGGAAAACAATTTGATAGGAAAAGTTCTCTTACTGTACATGAACGGACCCACACAGGGGAGAAGCCACATATATGCATGGAATGTGGAAAGAGCTTCAGTCAGAGTGGCGCTCTACATTCCCATCTAAGGACACACACAGGGGAGAAGCCATATAAATGCATAGAATGTGGAGAAAGCTTCAGTACAAGTGGCAGTCTATGTAGACATCAAAGGACACACACAGGGGAGAAGCCACATAAATGCATAGAATGCGGAGAAAGCTTCAGTGGCAGTTTATGTTCCCATCTAAGGACACACACAGGGGAGAAGCCATATAAATGCATAGAATGTGGAGAAAGCTTCAGTCTGAGTGGCAGTCTACGTAGACATCAAAGAACACACACAGGAGAGAAGCCATATCAATGCATGGAATGTGGAGAAAGCTTCAGTCGTAGTGGCGCTCTACATTCCCATCAAAGGATCCACACAGGGGAGAAGCCATATCAATGCATGGAATGCGGAGAAAGCTTCAGTCGCAGTGGCAATCTACGTAGACATCAAAGAACACACACAGGGGAGAAGCCATATCAATGCATGGAATGTGGAAAGAGCTTCAGTCAGCGTGGCGCTCTACATTCCCATCAAAGGACACACACAGGGGAGAAGCCATATAAATGCATGGAATGTGGAGAAAGCTTCAATCAGAGTGGCCATCTACGTAGACATCAAAGGACACACACAGGGGAGAAGCCATATCAATGCATGGAATGTGGAGAAAGCTTCAGTCGCAGTGGCCATCTACGTACCCATCTAAGGACACACACAGGGGAGAAGCCACATAAATGTATTGAATGCGGAGAAAGCTTCAGTCTCAGTGACAGTCTACGTTCCCATCTAAGGACACACACAGGGGAGAAGCCACATAAATGTATTGAATGTGGAAAAAGTTTCAGTCGCAGTGACAGTCTACGTTCCCATCTAAGGATTCACACAGGGGAGAAGCCATATAAATGCATGGAATGTGGAGAAAGCTTCAATCAGAGTGGCCATCTACGTAGACATCAAAGGACACACACAGGGGAGAAGCCATATCAATGCATGGAATGCGGAGAAAGCTTCAATCAGAGTGGCCATCTACGTAGACATCAAAGGACATACACAGGAGAGAAGCCATAGAAATGCATAGAATGTGGAGAATGTTTCAGTCAAAGTAACTTTTCAAAATAACAATTCAAGTCAATATGGAATTTATGTTAAGGGCAATTACAGGGAATAAAAACATTGCTGTGAAGAACCACGACTTATTTAAAGCAATGATTTTAGCCTGGGGATGGAGAGATGAAAAAAATGGAATCTGGAAAATTGGAATAACTATTTATTTGAGCAAGTCCAATCAGATATTATTGCATGTATAACCCAAGAAGGTTCACAGGAGGACAAAACAGAAGAAATTAAAGAGAAATGGGCAATTTATATGAAATGGGTAGAAGAAGGTGAAGCCAGCATAGATATTGTACAAAGATTTAAAAGGTTGTGTTCGTGGTTAAATATAAAGATATAGATACAGAGACACATCCATGAGAAACAAAAATTAGAGTCTCTCCAGAAGGGCAAGCACAATCTCCACCAAATTTTGATTATACACACAATCATTACCTATCTTTCTACCAATTTATGTTGCAGTAACAGCAATAGCTGGCACAGCGGAAGTGACCAAGTTGGTCTACCTGCAACCAGCAGGCAAAGCCTAAGGCGTGGGGAATGGACAGAGGCGGGTTGACCTGGATTGCAGGTGGACACTGAGGAGACGGTGACGTCTGCCACTGGTTCCTCTAAGCCAGGGGTCCCCAAAGTCTGGCCCGGGGACCGGATGCGCCCCCCCGGGGCATTTATCCAGCCCGCCAAGGAGGAGGCCTGCGTCTTAGTGAAATCAGTCTTGGCTCTGCTAACGCAGAGCTCCTTTCATTCTTTCTGTCTCCCCCTCAAGCTCTCTCTTTCTCCCCATTTCAGTCTCTCCCCCTTTCCCCTCTCTTTTTCTTTCTCTTTCTCCCTCCTCCTTTCTCTCTTTCTCCCTCTTTTTTTCCTCTCCTTCTCTCCTTTCCTCCCTCTTTCTCTTCTTCCTCGGAGGAGGTGAAGGCGGTGGTGGGTGTGGAGCGCTGCGGCTGCTGCCTGGAAGAGCGGAGGCAAGAGAATTCCTTGCCTCCGCTCTTCCAGGAAAGACACAGAGCTGCCAATAGGCAGCCCCAAAGCCTCCCCTCACCATCCAGCCCTCCCTCCTTCCTTCCACCTCTACCTGAACGCTGGGCTCAAGGAGCCCCCGCAAAGCCCCCCCCCCCAAGTTAAACAGGAAGGGGGGAGAGTGGGGGCGGCAGAAACGCCAGCCTCCTGGAGGAAAGACGTCTCCTCAAAACCTGGGGTAACTTTTCTTCCCTTCTTTGTCCTCTGCTTCTCTTTGGCAAATCCAGGCTCCTGCTGTGAAAACAGCCGGTAGGTAGGCTGTCAGGAATTGTGGGAATTGAATTCCAAAACACAAAGAGGGCCCAAGTTGGCCCATGCCTGCTTTAAAAAATACCAATGATATTTAATTCTGTTGTAGTGTTTCATATATTTGTAGATTTGAAATAGTATTGAAATATAAACTGCTTTGCCCCTTCCACACAGCTGTATAAAATCCACACTGAACTGGTTTATATGGCAGTGTGGATTCTGATAATGCAGTTCAAAGCAGATACTGTGGATTATCTGCCTTGATATTATGGGTTATATGGCTGTTTGGAAGAGCCCTTTGAGGGCCCTTCAAGACAGGTCCTATATCCCAGGATCTGATCCTAGGTTTTCTCTTTATCCCAGATTATCTGGCAGTGCAGACTTATATAATCCAGTTTAAAGAAGAAAACCTGGGATCAGATCCTGGGATATAGGGCCTGTCTGGAAGGGCCCACAGTCTCCTTGTGGAGACAAAAAGTGGTGTATAAATAAACATAATAAACATAATAATAATAATAATAATAATAATAATAATAATAATAATAAAGCCCTCCTCTTCTGATCTCCTGCTTTGGTCAGAGCTTCCCACCTGGAATCACACTCTGAAACCAAATTGGAGAACAAAAATCTGTTCCTGCCTTGAAAGTGTTATTTCCTGTTTAATTGTGTGGCCCTTACTTTGAACGTAGTTGTTCTCCTCCAGATACTTTGTATGTGTGGCTGCCACAAACTATGATGAATCTAATTGTCATGGGTGTTCTGTATGCCAAGTTTGGTTGAATCCCATTGTTGGGGAATTCAGAATGCTCTTTGATTGCAGGAGTGACTGCAACGTCCACATGTTTGAGTGTATTTTAACCAAACCTCTCCAGTATTTTCTGTTGGTCATGGAAGTTTGGCTGATAGGCTGATCAGTAAACATATTAATGGGTTCCCTGTTGTTATATTAAGACTGTTACTCTTGCTATGACATGCTTGAAGTCAAAATTTCATTTATTTGTAATTAGAAATAAATATTTCACAATGTATATTACATATTGTTTTTGTGATTAATCACTATGCTTTATGTTCAGATTGTAACAATAAAAATACATCTTGCATATCAGATATTTACATTATGATTCATAACAGTAGCAAAATAAGGTATGTGCAGTGTGCATAGGAATTTAATCATAGGTTTTTTTTTTTTTTAAAAAACAAAACCTATAGTCCGGCCCTCCAACGGTCTGAGGGACAGTGAACTGGCCCGCTGCTTAAAAAGTTTGAGGACCCCTGCTCTAAGCCAAGCCCTGCCAAAGAAACCATGGAGCTGTGGGGGCAGTTAGGAAAAATATATAATATTAAAATCACAATATAATTTAGAATTACGATATCAATGTTTAAACCTACCTGATTCTTCCTGTTGCAACCCAGATCAGGAAACAAGACCATAAGATTAAATCCACCACACTTGACTGTGGGAAAAACAATCCTTTTTTATTGATGAAAAATGGTTACAAAATAGAGGAAAATACAAAGTCCAAAAAGCCACAGTAAAATTCAGCAGTCAGGAATATCTATGAACTAGATCAAAATTCCACAAGCAACACTATAAAAACCTGGAACTTGTTAGCATCTCACTAACCATACTTGGAAACTAGAAGCCTCTGGGAATGCAGGCCATGGGAAACGGGAACTCAGCCAAGGTAATGCCTCAGTCTAAATGATGCTTGATCTAACAAGACAGCCCGGGGGGAGACACTTTAAACTAAAGAAACTGTTTCGGGACACGCCTCCAGGCTTGGAAGCCTCCTTCTGCTTTAATTTACTTGACCTTCCCAGACTCTGTGATTCAGTCCGGTTTTTCCAAATCTGTCCTTTTCTATCCTCATTAAAAAAGGCAGGTGTTAACTCCTCTGGAGAGTTATCACCGTTTGACTCTGAAACATCCTCATCAGGATGTTTAGTTTCACTTTCCCAGCCACTGCCCTCCTCTGGACACATTCCAGTTTGTCAATATCTCTCTTGAATTGTGGTGCCCAGAATTGGACACCACAATTCCAGGTGTGGTCTAACCAAAGCGGAATAGAGCATGGGGAGCATGACTTCCCTAGATCTAGACACTATGCTCCTCTTGATGCAGGCCAAAATCCCATTGGCTTTTTTTGCCGCCACATCACATTGTTGGCTCATGTTTAACTTGTTGTCCACGAGGACTCCAAGATCTTTTTCACACGTACTGCTCTCGAGCCAGGCATCGTCCCCCATTTTGTATCTTTGCATTTCGTTTTTCCTGCCAAAGTGGAAGAAAGAAGCGGTGCCACTGTTAGACCTTGGAGTTTATATGAACAAGACTGTTTCTGACCAAGCGAAAGATCAATCAGTGCAAAATCCACAGACTCCATGGCCAGGATATGTATTTCCTGTGGATAAGAAGAGGCATCTACGTTTTCAGCCCCAATAATTCAGCAGATCCCCCTGGTTGGCCCACTCCTTTCATGTACAAGTAGTGTGTGGTGTTTGCAGGAGAAGTTGAGCGTAAAGGTGCCCATCAGAAGCTTGGTGCATTGCTAAACCATTTGTGTGATAGAAAGACGCAATCCAAGTCTTCAGCAGACACTAAAAAAACAGAGTACCATCAGAACAACTTGTGCCTGTCTGAAAACTTCTTGCTAATTCTCAGTGGAAAGCTGATAAGTCCCGCAAGGCACGGACTTCTGGTGGCAGAGTATTCCAGAGCGATGGTGCCACTGCTGTGAAGGCTCTGCGTCTAGTTGCTGTTAGACACAAGGTCTTAAAACTGGGAACTTCCAATAAATCTTGGTCCTCAGAATGAAGGGATCTCTGGGGTTGGTAGGGGATGAGGCGGTCCCTCAGGTACATCGGCCCCAGACCATGCAAGGCCTTAAAGGTGAGTACCATCACTTTGAAAGTGATCCGGTGCTCAATTGGTAACCAATGCAGCTGTAGTAAGATTGGTGTTATGTGGCATCTCATCGGGATTCCCGCAAGAAGCCGAGCAGCTGCATTTTGTACCAACTTGAGCTTCCAGATCACCAGCAAAGGTAGGCCAATGTAGAGGGCGTTACAGTAGTCCAGTCTTGAGATGACCATCGCCTGGATCACTGTAGCTAGGTCGTCCCTGGGCAGGGAGGGGGCCAGCCGTCTAGCCTGCCGCAGGTGAAAAAAAACGGTTCTGCTAACGGCGGAGACCTGGGCCACCATCGTCAGCAGAGGGTCCAAAGGACTCCCAGACTCTTGACCAATGATGACGGGCGTAGCTTCACCATCCAGGGTAGGCAGCTGGATATCCCCACTGCCCGGTCGACCCAGCCATAGGGTGAACAGCTTTGCACAATGGTGGTAATTTCAGGGCCTTGTTGAGATCTCCTGCCAGATCAGGGGACACTAACCCCAAAAGTCATAGAATCATAGAATCAAAGAGTTGGAAGAGACCTCATGGGCCATCCAGTCCAACCCCCTGCCAAGAAGCAGGAATATTGCATTCAAATCACCCCTGACAGATGGCCATCCAGCCTCTGCTTAAAAGCTTCCAAAGAAGGAGCCTCCACCACACTCCGGGGCAGAGAGTTCCACTGCTGAACAGCTCTCACAGTCAGGAAGTTCTTCCTCATGTTCAGATGGAATCTCCTCTCTTGTAGTTTGAAGCCATTGTTCCGTGTCCTCGTCTCCAGGGAAGCAGAAAACAAGCTTGCTCCCTCCTCCCTGTGGCTTCCTCTCACATATTTATACATGGCTATCATATCTCCTCTCAGCCTTCTCTTCTTCAGCCTAAACATGCCCAGTTCCCTAAGCCGCTCCTCATAGGGCTTGTTCTCCAGACCCTTGATCATTTTAGTCGCCCTCCTCTGGACACATTCCAGCTTGTCAATATCTCTCTTGAATTGTGGTGCCCAGAATTGGACACAATATTCCAGGTGTGGTCTAACCGAAGCAGAATAGAGGGGTAGCATTACTTCCCTAGATCTAGACACTATGCTCCTATTGATGCAGGCCAAAATCCCATTGG